ATCAGTCAGGTCATGTTTATTCTGCTGGACACGTAACTCTAATAATTTCTCTTTCAGTTGAGACTTGTATTTCTCAAGAGGGGTGTTTCCTTGATTTCTCATTTGGCACAGCTCCTTTTCCACTTCAGCCAAGTTTTTCCAGGTCTCCCCCTGGAGTCTCAGATTTTCCCTCTTGTACTTTGCCACATCTTTTATGTGTACAGTGATTTCCTTGGCATATTTATGGGCACTCTGACATTTCTTATTATCCTCATCTACCTGGATGCCTAACTGACGTGCGGTCTCAGCCATGGCTTCTATACTCACTCTCTTGGGAGAAGACTTCATTATAGTTGCTATTGCAGACTGTAGAGCTTTTACATATGCCGCCTGATTTGTGGCACGTCCTTTCTGCAGCACATGTGAGTTGTTCAGTTTCAGCCCTGGGGCCAACTTGTTCAGGAATGCCAGTGTTTCCTTGGATGTCGCAGCCGGATTATTAAAGATAAAGTAATATGTAGTGGCTGATCCCTGCAGAGATGATAACAGTACGTATTCTCTCTCACTGATGCTCTCTGTTAATATGAACACTGCTGAGGAGATCTCTGTTAAAAAGCTGAACTGTAGCCAGTGGGACTCAATGTCTCCACGCAGGTTTGTAACCGCAACGGGCTCTGGGAAAAGATCTGAATTTCCCATCCCAGCAGGGAAATACCAGGAAATCTCAACCAGCCCATCTGTGATTTCCCGAGGGACATTCCCAGACTCCATGTCCCGATGGATGAAGAAATCGTGGTGCTGCTGGGAGGGGCTGAGAACCTCATTGAGGAGTTTGGATTTGGAGAAGCTGCAGCTCCCCATCCGCACAAAGGAAATGGTTGGCATTGCTGTGAGCACCAGGCTCTCCTCCCTGAATCCCCTGCTCTCTGCCAGGGAGTGCGGCCTCCACTTCCTCACAATGTCCCTCACGGCCCACAGCATTAGGGTGCATTTGGGGGTGTTGAGGGCAGGGAGCAGCAGAGGGAGGGCAAACTGGCACATGGACATTTTGGTCAGGATCTCCTGCTGCAGAAAACTGTCTGAGGAAAGCAGAACAGCACAGAGAACATCGAGGGGGTTTAGTGAATCACTGGTGTCTGTGTCACTGAGAAAAAAAAAATCTGCATGAATACCCAGCTCC